CCAGGTTCGGGTCCTGCACCCTCTTCTTCCAAAAGCAAAAGGTGGACCGCGACCACCTGAACCTCACTCTCCTGTGGGAGGTCGTGGGCCCTGCAAAGGAGGAGACATGATCCGGTGGTCTCTGCTGTTGCTGTCGAAAGCAAAAGCCATCCTAAAGCCAACCTTCCTCTGGCTGTCTGGAGCTGGCGGGGTGCGCTGGGTAGGGCTTTGAAAGCTGAAGGTGACCAAAACTGCAGTTATTTAGGGATACAATCCTTCCCGTAAGTAAGTAAAATCTTGCCATTTTTATGGGTCCAAGTTAAAATCACTCCTAAGAAAACTTGTGAAGAGTAGAAGAGGTGGGGGCTTTGGCCGCAGAAGGATCAGCCTGTGCCCGTTTGCGTGGGTGAGCGGTTTTGCGAGCAGCTTTCCCTTCCCCGGCAGTGATCTAAATTCATGTCTTGAATTTCTTCAGCACGTGCAAAGACCAAAGCAGGTGGGAGACCGTGTCCTATCTTACACTCAAACATAAAAGCTAACTGCTAGCGGCAACTAACGCAGTACAACGGGAGCAGGATGATCCCGATCCTCCCTTCTTTGCTTTCCCATCGCCGAGGAGCGCTGCCATTCCCAGCTCAGCAGCAGGATTTGCCAGGGAAGGGCGGCAGCTGGTGGGTGGTCACATACCGCTCCATGTGCCGGAGGCGGTGCGCATCGCCTCGACTGGCTGCGTGGGGACACCGAAGGCCTCGGGGAGTCGGGGGAGCCTGGGGTAATTAAATTAGGTTGTACTGTACATAGCCCTCATTAGACAAGTCCCTTCGGGAGACAGAGTAGAATAATAATGACACTTATGATGGGTTCGGAGGTGCCCGGTTTAACGTTGCCCTTCGGGGTCTCTCTCGTCTTCTCGCCCGTAAAGCTTAGCCGTGCCGGGCGGTCTAGCAGGAGGACCGTGCTTGGTCTTGGGCTGGGCTTACGGGGTCCTCTCCGGGGGGGAATCCTCCCACCCAAAGACAAGTGAAAGCCCCTTCCCTCGAGCGGGTGCCAGCTGGGGACACCCTGTGCTAGTGGCAATGGCGACTACACCTCCGTGCTGATAGCCCGCGGGTTCGGGAAGCTCTTGTGGAGGAGGCCATGGCGGCTCACCGGGTAGCTTTGCAAGGTGGCCATGTTGATGGACGGCCCCATCTCCTTGTAGCACGTGGGGGTATAGGTGATCCTCTCGCCCCCGTTGCGTACCATGTCGGCAGTCCGGATGTAAAAGGGGGAGCCGTAGGGGGAACAGGTCGGGCAGTAGTTGTGAGCCCTGTGCTGGCTGAGCTCACTGCGAGGGGCAGCGGGGCTGCCTTGGCCGTCCACCATACGGGAGTTGCAGGCATTGCATGTGCCGAGGTGCGAGTGCATGGGAAGATCAGGCTCTTCCTCTTCCTCTTCCTCCTCCTCCTCCTCTTCCTCATCGGAGTCATCTTTCTTGCAGCAATAGTACTACGCGAAAGGGAAGGACTTGTATTAGGGGAGGCAGAGTAACCAGTGGGCAGATCCGGCTTCTCAGCCAGCCCTGCCATATCCCCGCTCCCCTCATCCCCCTCCTAGAGAATCCTTCAGCTGGTCTGCTCCAGCGGTACCTGGGTCCTGCACAGCGGCCGCAGCCAGACAAAC